AACATGTTCCCCGCCTTCCCGAAACTAACAATCTAATGAGGAAGATAGATATTTAAAAAACAGTAATGCTACGGATACAGATATGATACTGTAATAGAAAATGCTAATTATTCCCAGTATTTATTTCCCAATTCTTACTCAGTAATAGTCCTTGAATTTTATCTGGCCACGACCACAGGCAATAAACTACCTACATTTTCCAGACTTCCTTGCTCCTAGCGGGGGCCATATGACTAAGTTCAGGCCCATGGGATCTAACTGGAAGTGGAGCATGCAACTTCTAGAAAACATCCTTAAAAAATAAAGGGCTTGCTCTTTGTTGCTTCTCCCCCTTCTTACCAGATGGAGCAGCTATTTTGGACTATGATGTGAAAGCTGCATGCTGAGAATGGCAGAGCAACAGAATAGGAGGAACCTGGGTTCCCTGACACCATGCAACCACTCTTCACAGGCCTAGCCCTAGGGGCACCTACAGAACTTTTAGATGAGAGAGAAATTAAGTTTTCTCTGTTTAAATCATTTTCATTTTGGGTTTTCAGTCATTCACAACTGAACATAATCCTAACTAGAATAACTATGAAGGGAAAGTATGGTTCAATTGAGAGATAACAGAAACAGTTGATTTTGACTAGAAGAAGGAGTGTCAGGGATAGCTCCTCTGAGGAAGTGACATTTAAGCTATGACATGAAACCTCATCAGGAGGCCACCAGGTAAAAGGAGACAGGACAGCAAACTGTTCAGGCGAGGGAAACCAAAGCTGCAACCACAAAGGCTTAACCCTGAAGCACCACAGTAACAAGCAACAAACTTTGGGATGTTAAGATTGCCTCCATAAGGAATTAAAATGAAAGCACAGAACTAGAGCAACTAAGCACTTTGGCTCCATATCGGAATATCTCCATAAAAGACCATATATGCCTATCAAAAAATAAGGGTGTGGGGAGTGAGCATGACAGTGAATCCTGTTAAAGAAATTAATAGTTGCTTCCATACTTCAGCGTTACTTCATGCCTGTAATCCCAGCACTTTGGGAGGCTGAGGTGGGCGGATCACAAGGTCAGGAGATCTAGACCATCGTGGCTAACACGGTGAAACCCGGTCTCTACTAAAAATACAAAAAATTGCCCAGGTGTGGTGGCGGGCACCTGTAGTCCCAGCTACTTGGCAGGCTGAGGTGGGAGAATGGCATGAACCCAGGAGGTGGAGCTTACAGTGAGCCAAGATTGCGACACTGCCCTCCAGACTGGGTGACAGAGCAAGACCCTATCTCAAAAAAAAAAAAGAAAAAGTTGGATTCTCTGACTAAAGTGGTTCATGTATTTAATACCATGAGAAGAATGTCATTAGATTTTAAAATGTGAACTATACCTGAAACAGACAAGAGCTTGATGTTAAAAAATTTTTTACATCATATTTCTCGTTTATTTATGATTCTAAAAGTGAGACATATTTATTGTGGAGCATTTAGAAAATATACATAGGAGTAGGCCGGGCGCGGTGGCTCAAGCCTGTAATCCCAGCACTTTGGGAGGCCGAGACGGGCGGATCACGAGGTCAGGAGATCAAGACCATCCTGGCTAACACGGTGAAACCCCGTCTCTACTAAAAAGTACAAAAAACTAGCCGGGCGAGGTGGCGGGCGCCTGTAGTCCCAGCTACTCCGGAGGCTGAGGCAGGAGAATGGCGTAAACCTGGGAGGAGGAGCGTGCGGTGAGCAGACATCCGGCCACTGCACTCCAGCCTGGGTGACAGAGCAAGACTCCGTCTCAAAAAAAAAAAAAAAAAAAAAAAAGAAAATATACATAGGAGTATACAGAAAAAATAAATCACCTGTAAACTTAACCACCTTCCAATATCTTATACTGACACTGTTTTTACGTACATTTACACACCCACATACATATACATACAAAATAAACATAAAAATGGGACTGTAATGCACATAAAGTTGTGTATACTCTCTCACTTATTATTTCAGAGCACATTCCTGTATCATTAAAATACTTTCCAAAACCATGATCTTAATGGCTATATAACATATAATTTATTTAGCCAATCAAGTCAGGGATTTTCTGAGTTAAAACTGTCCGCCACAAATTGAAGCCCTGCAGGTCAAGAAGCTGACTTCTGCCAGAGTTTCTTTCAGAAATCTCAAGTTACAGTTTTAAAGCACTAGAACCTTCCAACCAAGAATTCAGTGAAATTCACTGAGTTTTAGTCATAAAGGATGCTCACTAAAGGCTGTATTTTCCCAAATGGAGCATACAATTACATAGTTTTAAGGAAGAAACTGAGTAAGTATCAAAGATTGAAGTGGCAACAGTGAATAAGAACTAGTCTACTGCAAGAAATAGTGACTATCTGCAATGATCTTTCTCTTTTTTTTGCTCATGACTTTGGAGGTCAGATGCAACTTTTAATAAAACAAAAGAAGAGAATATATGAGTCCATTATTTGTATAATTAAAGTTTTCTAATAAATATTGAAAAAATGATTACAGAAAAATGCACAAAGAAAAAGAATGGAAGCAAATACAACAAAGAGTTAAGTGCAAAATATGCCATTATTCTCCAAACTTTTCTGTATTTAAAATTTTTCTAACAAAAAAATTAATGTTAAAATATTAGTCATATGGATAAGGTAATTCAGATTTTAGTTATTAAAGTGGAAGGAAAATTGGTTAGGTTCTGCCAGAGGATAAGTGGCTCTTTTGGGGGGGGGTGAAGGGCACATAGCATTAGGAAACTGTTCTAAAATAAAACTTTTATTTTTTTGAGACAGAGTCTCGCTCTGTCACCCAGGCTGGAGTGCAGTGGCACGGTCTTGGTTCACTGCAACCTCTGCCTCCTGGGTTCAAGCAATTCTCCTGTCTCAGCCTCCCAAGTAGCTGGGACTACTGGTGTGCACCACTACCCCCAGTTAATTTTTGTATTTTTAGTAGAGACGGGGTTTTACCACATTGGCCAGGTTGGTCTTGAACCTCTGACCTCAGGAAATCCACCTGCCTTGGCCTCCCAAAGTGCTGGGATTACAGGCATGAGCCACCACGCCTGGCCAATAAAACTATTCTAAACTAAACAGTAATATCACATGTTGAAAGTAAGTCTGAGGAGGGATGAGCTTTTGAACTTTATAGCTGTGCTTCCTTCAAGTATTAGCCTACCTAAAAATGATATTTTTCTGTTCCATCAAAAAGGTCATTTTAACAGTTAGGAAATATAAAAATTGCAGGACTGGATTTCAGTTTCTAACTCTAGTTTTATTTACTTTGTATACCTAAAGTTTTCCTGATGTTAGACATTTTTTAAAATTCCAGTTTCTGAAATGCAAACTTAATTCAGAGAACAATTAGAGCTTGCCACTTGATGAAATGTCTTAACATAGATAGTTGCAATTTTCTATTCAGTAAGGTCTCTAACAGAAAAAAGATTAAAGAATAAAAAGTTACAGAATAAACCAAATCAATGTCAGTTCTCACAAACAAAAATTTCGAGTAGATGTAAATTTCTAAAAATTGTCCCACTTTCCCCAAATGTAGTCTTAAGTTACCTTAACTTTGCAATAGCATCCCCCAACCCCTACTCCACTCATCAGTTCTCACCTTCCTTCCCTGCTGGAACACGTGAATTTTTCAGCAAATGTGACTCATTCATTGGCGTCTTGTCAAACTAACCCTGAAACTATAAGGAGGCTCAGCGCTAACAGAATTCTAAAGCTAGAACACTTTCACTAACACACATCATGTTGACTTTAGAGAACTGAATCACATTCAGAGCCAAATACATACTAACCAACTCTGTTTATATTTTTTCTTACAAATTGTTCTCCACCATCCCACCTCCTCCCAATTTTAGTTTGGCAATTCCCTAATCTAAAATACCTCCTGTCTGTGGAGAAGACAAGATGGGGACGCATAAGAATAGGAGGGAAGAATATAAAGCAGTTGTTCACTCAGCTTGGAAGATGATTCTATTCTGAAACATTAATGATTCATATCTCTTCCACATAGTTCTCAAAGTTTATTTCTCCCCTCAGTTAAATGAAACCACAATAGAAACACAATAAAAAATCTCCAGGAATAAATTATTCTCATTGTTATTATTTCACTAAATAACATCAAATAACACATAAAAATCAGTTATTTAGAACTATTTAGTCAAAAATCTTCAATAGAATGTCACTGGCATGAAATATCAACTGCAAATCACCTTATTCTTTTGATTAATACATTCACCTCCTCCAAGACAGAAAACCACTCTTTCTAACCAGAGGGAGAGCGGTGGGGAAGAAACAAGAAAACAAATGCTTCATGGGATTAGCATAAACATTTACTTATAGCTCTATCAACCGCCACACTCCACCTCGTGGCAGGCACTGCCTGAATTGGTAAAGTGGAGGTCATCATACAAAAAATTCCAAAGAATATTTTCCTGGTGTCCTTGGAAAAAACCAAGATGTTCTTCTCCTGCCCTGCCCTATATAGAATAAGTCTAATAAGTTTTTTCACATAATAGTAGGTCAATATCTAATAGAGATTAACATAAAGGCATGACCATACTTAGAATGGGAGACCTACATTTAGAGCAATCTACTTACAAGAAAATTCTCTCCACAGTAAGTTAAATGTCAGCTCAAGGCTTTAAGACAGGTAACCAGGTACATGCAGCACCTACAAGATTCTCTATCACCTATTCTCACTAACTGCCTTTACCCCATCCCCTATGGGTAAACTATAGAGTTTAATTAACACAGTTAACGGCAGCCTGCCACATTGCTTTTAGGTATTTGCCAGTAACATATACCCATGGGATACTCTAGAGACTGATTTCAACCAAAAATAAAAATAGATAAACAGAGCTCAAACAAAATTAAAACCAAGTCTGGCTGCCCACACTTATTTTCACACATGAGGAAAAATAGCAGTTCTCTTAGAAGCCTCGAGCAGACATATCTTTAGAACACAATGTTAAAAATATGCCCCCCTCCCCTTTTCCCCTACCTGTTTCTCACTCAAAGCTGTGATTTTGGCTTGGAGTTCATGAAGCTGTTTCTTTAAGTCAGCATTCTGATTGGAAAGAAAAAATATCTGTGAGAAAGATAGTTCATTTGTTAACAGAATAGTAGCAGGAAGACTATGCATACTGTATTACAAATGATGAAGCAACCTGAAGCATTCAGCCAATCAAATCTGTCATGCATTACACTGTAGCCATAATACCATCACCTAATGCACAGATCCTAAATATAGGCTCCTCTCACCGAAACAGGAGCAGCTCCTCTGCAACTCTTTTATATTACACGAAGTTTTATATTTGAGCATCTTATACTCTAAGAGTACCTGTCCACTAAAATATTCTTATTCTTTATAGAAAGTATCCATTAACAGAAAACCCAAAGCTCCACTAATCACACAAAAGTGGGAAAATGGAGGTTATAAGTATGCATACACTACATGCTTTACAGCATTATCAACAAAGATAAGAGGTTTTTCTCCACTTGCCCTCTCCCTTATTTAGCAAAGTACATTTGTTATTTTAGCCTAGATCTGAAAAGCTGTCAGTACTGCAACTGCCTTAACACTACATCATTCAAATTAACACACTGACTACCAGGGCATTTTCTCAGTTCTAAAATTCTAGGAATCAAAAAAAGAATACTATTTTAGATGAGATACACTGAGCATGATTGCCTTTTACTAAAGTAGGCAAAAAATTCCAAAATTAAAGTTTTCAAATGCTTAATGTAGCAGGACAGCCTACTAGCAGACTGAACACCACCCTAATGAGAGACTGCTTTTACTTGATTTGTCTCACATACAATTATTTCAATTTACCCTGCTTGGTCTTCTGTCAGGGTTAGGGAACACATCCTCCCCGTCTATTGAATTTGGTTTACTCCATGTGGACTTTTTTATTAGTGTATTTGACATAAGGCTTCTCCAATGAGATCACCCACAATGCTGTCCAACAAGTTACTGCCCTGCCCACCTCAGATTCTTCAGGTTAAGACAATTCTGTTACATGATCACCAATATTACGACAGAAAGCCTCAAACACTCTGATTTTGAATAAGTGGATTTATGGAAATGAATTTAAGCTATATGATGAGTATTAACTCAATATTTTTCTCCAAAATACTCAAACCAATTAATATAAAACCAAAATAATAGTAACAAAAATGAAATAATAGCTATATTAAAATAGAATGAATTTTTCTAAACTCTTAAAACCTGAAGATAAACGTATTAAAAATAATTGCTATTAGAAATGAAGTAATTCTTAAAAGTTAAGTACCATCTATATTTAAGTATTTTATGGTGATTTTATTTTAAATTATTTTTAAATTTAACAATTACATGAATAAAAATAGTAGTTTACCTGTGGATCCTGCTTCATCTGAGCAACCAGTTTCTGGTAATAAAGAGAGAAAAAGAGCCATTAGTCTTACATATTAACTCCCTATGGCTAATCAGGTTTGGACCAAAAAATCTAGGATTTTAAGTTAACACAAAACAATGAGCAACACCACAATCAGAACAGACTAAAACCTTCTGTGATGCATGTAATAGGCTCAGGAGACACTTCCTGCAATAAAAAAATCAAACCGCCACTTTATATTTGAAATGAAAAAGTGCCTGATTTTTAAATCTGGACAGAGATGGGCGACAATGGCTTCCGAAAGGACTTTAAACAAGCTGGATGCTCCAAAAGCCGAACATCCCTTTCAAATGCTGTCAATGTCTGGAGTCCCAAACAAGGCCTGGAAAGAAGCTGGCCCCACACAAAACCGGCCTGTTACATACAGAGCAAAGTACAGATTTGGCAGGTCTATTGGTTTGGTTCTTACCACTGAAGGAGTGTAGTGTCCCATTTGACTTTGCCACAGTCTTCTCTCAAGAAGGAGTTAGGTGCAGGGGAGGACAAGTTCAGTGGGGCAGTGATACTCAGTATTTGAGAACAAGGAAGTGCAGGAACAATACAAAATTCTATCTAACTCGATTCCTCTGGGAAAGAGAGTGCTACCCAATACTGAATGGAAAAGATCTTTGCTAGGGAAAACAGAAGCCCAAACAAATAACAAAGAAAGAAAGAAAAATGAATGTCTTTTGACCTAACCCAACTTCTAAAATCATTGCTGCCCAAAGGTAACAATAACCATAGACAGAAGAATTTGAAGGATAAAGGAGCACCAGAAGTCCTAAAGTAACTGGGAATAAGCTATTACCCAAGTCAATTTTTCATGTAATGGAAAAATTTGTCACTCTCTTTTGGTGACAAGGCACTTTTAAATTGTTTAGTTGTAAAATAAAACCTTTCTAAAAATATACTATATATTTATCTAACTACTACCTTTTTTTTTTGAGACAGGATCTTCCTCTGTCACCTAGGCTGGAGTACAGTGGTGTGATCATGGCTCGCTGCAGCCTTAACCTCCTGGGCTTAAGTGATCCTTCCACCTCAGCCTCCCGAGTAGCTAGGACCCCAGGTGCACACCGGCACACCTGGCTAATTTTTAAATTTTTTGTAGAGACAGGGTCTTGTTATGTTGCCCAGGCTGGTCTTAAACTCCTAGTCTCAAGGAACCCTCCCTCCTCAGCCTCCCAAAGTGCTGAGATTAAGGTGTGAGCCGCCACACCCACCCTAACTTCTTAAAAAGAAGAAAAAAAAATTTTTAAATCAGCTTTTATTGATACTTAGAGGAATGATTATATTAATATACTAAACTATAAACAATAGGGTCCTTACAAAAAAGGTCCCAAACTACGTTTTAAAGTTCTTAAATCCACACTGTAGTTTTCCAGTCCACTCCTTAACGTCAAGTAGTCAGCCAGAACATTTTGCTACTATTCTTTTTTTTTTTTTTTTTTAAAGATGGGATCTCGTTCTGTCACCAAGGCTGCAGTGCAGTGGCACAATCACAGCTCAATGCAGCCTCCAACTCCTGGGCTCCAGCAATCTTCCCACCTTATCCTCCTAAGTAGTTGGGACTACAGATGTGCATCAAAATATCCAGGTTTGGTTTTTGTTTTTTGGTTTTTTAAACTATTTTTAAGAGATGAGGTCTCGCTGTGTAATGCAGGCTGGTCTCGAAATCCTGACTTCATGCGATCCTTCTGCCTCAGTCTCACAAGTAGCTTGGATTATAGGTTTGAACTATCAGGCTTGGTTAATTTTTATTTTTCAAATATTTTTAAGAGATGAGGTCTCACTATGTTATCCAAGCTGATCTCGAAATCCTGACCTCAAGTGATCCTCCCACCTCAGCCTCCTGAGTAGCTGAGATTACAGGCATAAGCCACCATGTCCAGCTCTTGCTACTATTCTAACAACCCTGAAACCCAGCTCAAATTTGCTGTTTCAGACTTCCTGTGTGGTACACTCACTGGACTAATTTTAAGATGAGGGAATAGGTTGTAATAATCTAAGAAATCCTCCTTTAGTAAAATGCATAATCTTTAGTGTATCACTTCAGACATTTATTCTAATTGGTCAAGTCTTTCTCCCTGGTGCTAAGACACGTTTTAGATAACTGAGGTTGCCGACCATGTGACCTCCAAATACATAAGGTATGTGTCACTATATTCTACTTCATATTTAATGGTAGTAGCTCTTCTATATCCTAGTCTTAATCTACAAAACAGAAACAATACATATTCCAAGAGTTTAAGGGAATTGAAACACAAGGTTTTATACACATACATTTTTACATTAGTGCTAGCCACACTCTTCAATGAAAAAAGCTCTTGATTTTCCTTTTTGATTTGGTTACCAGAGGGTTGGCTACTACGCTGTCACCTTTTAGAAGCTGAAAAAGGTTTTCTTCCAGACACTGGAATTTAAAAATTCACTGATAACCACATGAAGTCTTCACCTCTAAAGGAAATAAATAAGCCAACTCTTCTATCTATAAGCAGTTAAACTGCATTTTAGACAATCAGGGGTAGGACCGGACAAGCTGGGCAACTTACTGGACCATCCAAATCCCTAGTAACTTTAAGCTGACATCATGTTAACAAAGTTAAGTTACTTTCCACAAGAATGTGGCAATATTTCTTGAGGATATACTTTATGCCAAAGGTAAGCAGAACAACCCATAGGCCAAATCTGGCCCGCCATTGTTTTTGCAAATAAAGTTTTATGGAAAAAAGTCATATTCATTCATTTATATATTGTCCGTGGCTGTTTTGTACATGCAACTGCAGAGCATAGTAGTTGTGACAGACCATAAATTACCCGCAAAGCCAGAAAGATTTTACTATGTGTCCCCTTTCAAAAAAATTTGCTAACCTCTGTTTTATACTATTCTCCATTTCATATAGAGTAAATACCCTGAAAATTTAAATGTGATTTCCATCAAATCTAAATAAGGTCAAAGAAAGGAGGAGGAGAAAAGACAATTTCCCCAAAAAGATGAGATGTCCATCACAGGACATTATTACTTAAATATTTATTGAACATCAACTATGTGTACATTGCTACTTTCATAACTATCTCCCCATTCATAACAAAAACACAAAGAACAAAAATACACTTTAACTACAGCAATCCCAGGTAGTTTCAGAACATATTTTCTATCCAGTAAGCTCAATTTCAGCCCTAATCTCATTCCCTAGCTGGAAATGCAACCAAGGGTGGCTTTTGTCCCAATATTTAGTCAAATGTATGTTCTGGCTTTGGTCTCAGCCTAGTAACCAACGCCCCTACCTTGATGTCATTTCTAGCATGCCTCAACTTGTCATGATCAATGATTGTGTAGGTGACACCATATAAATTATTTTTCCAAAAATAGTAAAGTATTACAGATATAACTGGAGTGAAATATATGCTTTCTCTGTTAAAATATTACTGGCATATAAATAAATGTTTATTATCACACAAAATGTTGTATAAATAAAGGATGAATATAAAAGCTATTAATTTTATGCTCAAAGCTGACAGTTAATATGAATAGTAAGAGAGTGTTTAGAATAACTTTGGGAACTATATCCCTTTTGAGTCAACAAATGTAAATTTAAAATTTTAATTAGATTTAAAACAGAATAATAAATATTAAGTATTTTCATAATTGTGATGTTTATAAAATTGGTATGCTTGAATTCAGAATATGAAACAAAATATTTAGTAATTAACTTCAATTAATTTAGGTCATGAGCCCTTCAAGAAAGGATTATTTGGGAGACTTGCTCATATCTTGTGAGGAGGAACTAAAGCAGAATGTTAACTTCGCCATCTCAATACTTCTTTAGAGGAGGAAAAACTCCAAAAATCACACACAACATCATAAAATTATCCTTGATCCATATAAATTTCAGATTGACTACTGTACTCCCAAAATTCATTCTATGATGATGTCAGCTTTGAACCAAATGTGAATTTAATTTTTATCACTTGCCATTCAGCCAAACTGGGTATTCAACACACCTCTATGTTAAACTAGTTTCACTCAGAAAAAGACAAGCTTGTTTTTGTAACAAATTTCTGCTCTCCTCAGTCAGTACCAGAAGCAAAGTTAAAAAAAAAAAAAAAAGTACACAGCTTATTGCCTACTTAAAGAAGCCCACGTGCACAGGGCCAACTCTGCAGCGGAACAAGAGTTTAACGAGATCCGGAGCAGCAGCAGGGATTTGTGAACAGGTGCTTTTGAAGCTTCCTTTAAGTTCTCACCCACACTAATTCTGAGCAACGTGCAAATCTAGTAGTTATCAAAGGCCTAAGATATTCTCCCAATGATTTCAAAACCTAATGTTACCTTAGACTACTCAGATAAACAAAGGAAACTATACCTAAGAACAAACACCTTTAAAAAGTAGTTTTACTTATCCTTCTCTGCGCTCCCATATCCCCAATTGTTACAAATTCAAAAGCAGTCAATGCATCATCCTTTATCACTTTTGAGTACCAAGGATTAGACACATGCATGTGTATGTGTGTCTTCGCCCTGATGTCCAGCTAAAGTCTAGAAAGATATAAAACAATCGTACTCTGTTTACATAACAAATTTTAAATGTAATTATTTAAAGATAGCTTTTTGTCTTGATTATAGTTATGCATATGTTTACTTTTATATATTCATACATAAATTATATTTAGTATTTTAATATTTTACTATTATATACATAAAATATATTGTTTTACAAATGTATTTAAAATATATTTTATTTATATATACATTTTTATAGTTACTTTAAATGTTTGTTTAGTCTGGGTATCTGAGGTAAAATATAAGAACTGTAAAATCTGAAATTTAAACATCTGTGAAGATAATCACATTTTCTTTAAGAAAGATTGGAATCAACGCATAAAGCTGAGTCATATGATCTGTAAAAACTTTAGTACATATGGTAGTTGAGTTAGACATGTTGTTATTTAAAACATGCAAGTTAAATCAAATGAATAAAGTCCTTCAGATGAACCAAAAAGCAGAAAAAAGATTTCTTTCTTTTTTGTTAACACCTTTGGTGTATGAAAAAAATCTTTTCAGTGCTTTTCTCTAGAAAGGAAGTCAGGAATACTTTCTTTAAGTTCTTAAAAGTAGTATCTATGACTTTGCTGAGTAGTGATAAAAGGCAAACGACATGACTCTTGGACAAAATTGTCTTAAAGATTATTAAAAACCGTACTAAACACCAGAGATGGGCTTGTTTACTAATCTTAACAACAATGTGGGAGAAGCCAATACTACAACGTACCTGGTGAACCTGAATTTCCACTTTAAGAGCCTCCTGTAGAGTCTGCAACTCCATCCTCTACCTTCTCCACTTTCTCTGCTAATTCTGTAGTTTCTTCAGCCTCTGTTTAAAGTAACAAACTCCTCTTCTCACTGCAGCTGTAAAGATGGTAAAATGTTTTGGATCATTACATTTGGAACAAATATAATATTTATGTCAAATAAATTATGTTAGTAAAAAAATATCTGATTCTCTAACGCAGGGCAAGAAATTTCCCAAAGAGACTTTTTTCCCCCAAAACAATTCTTCAAGTATTCCTCTAAAGAACACTTCAAATAACTAAGAAATGAAAAACAAAAAAAAGGGTTTAATCTGGTCATGGAAACATCTAAGCACCCACTACATGCTCAGCACTGTATTAATCACTACATACTGAGGATACAGAGCTGAATAAGACCACTTCTGCCTTCAGTGAGACTATAACCATTCAGGACACGCCGTCCTCAGAAAGAGACATATAACAACAGTATCATACATTTTTAAACTTCACACAGAGTGGACTGGAGAGTTCGGGGTTTCTCAGAGGTTAAAGAATGCTGGGGTAGTTTCATTTGGATGGGTTCTCACTCTACATAAAAAATAGAGAAACTCAAAATGGGGAAATTCTGGTATAACTTAAACATTTACATTTAACAAATTCATACTCAACACAGACAAATACAGTGCAATATAACTGTGCTATCACAAAGTTATGATGTGGATATTTTAAAATCTATCTATCGTGTGTAACATGAGGTAGTCTAGTAATGGAACACACATCCAGCTTTACAATGAAAATCGTCTTTCAAGCTTGCCAGTCATCTCTTTGACTATACATATAATGGCAAGTGGAGATAATGTCAAAAGTCTAAATCTGTTCATGTGACACCCAGCTTGACCTTCCTATCCTCCTTCAATCATCACTACTCTAATTTAAATTATTTCAATGGCTAATTTATCCTTTATTATTTTTTTTCCATTCTTGAATGTGGCCTTAGACATTATTTTAGTACTCTGCCAAAGCAAAAGTCTGTTTTTGCCTGAATAAATTTAAATTTTACTTCAAATTTCTTTTCTTCTTTGCACCTATAAAACTTGTAGCTAGAGCTGCTTTTTAGCATTCATATAAACTGGGGAAGAGAACAATCAGAAAGTTAGAGGAACCACTACTCCTTAAACCAATACAATAAGATTCATGATCTTCATACTTCTAAATATTATTTACCTATGGGTAAAGTCTATACTCAACCTAAGTTTTCTAAGAGCCCTTTGAAAACTCTTTTAACAGAGTTATAATGGAATCATTAACTAGGGAATATATTCCTGTGAATATGAGTTTTCATTATATTTGCTTATTCTCATTAGGCATAAAACATCAGCAGAAATCTCTCTCTTAGGGCTTATATACTAGATTATACAACATCAAAATACTCAAACCTAAGAAAGAATAAATTCCAAAAATGCAAAATTCCTTTAAATTCACATTTGCAAACGACAGGAAAAGTTTACTGTAGAATGATAATGTTAACCAAAACATTTTAAAAGGCAGTATATTTAGGGGAGATATTAATAATTTAGAAAGGGAGACATACTGTGGTGAACAAATCTGGGTAGTTTTAGCTACTATCTTTTAAAATATTTGGAATGACAACCAATCAGTCAGTAAGTTATCAGAATCATTAAGTCACTAAGACCAAGATTTTTGTTGTCATGTAAGCTTACTTTAACTGCAATACTAAAGTTAAAACTACACAGCCACTTTAAATACCAAAATAATCTCCCTACTCAAATTCTTGACTTATATATTACAGTTCTTCTTGAAAACAACACTTGGTTTTAATTTTTACAAGGCTCTACCAGAAAATGTGTCCAAAATGATTCCTTATAATTTCTATCAAGAATCACTTTGAAATTGAAGGGGTATTTTTCAAATCTTCATACTTCATTCTACTGGTAGTAACATAAAACCATAGTTCAACTCAATTTACATAAACTCTGGAAATGAACGGCAGGTTAAAACATGAAGAACTTACATTATACATGACAAAGGGCTAATATAGTTTATATATTTAGGGCCCTGACAGATTGATAACAAAAATCTATGAAAAAACAATTTACAGAAGAAATAAGAATGACCAAGAAACATGAAGAACTTCCATCATCAATTAAGACACAGAAATATAATTAAGATTATATGCTTTGTCTATTAAACTGAAGACCTATAAAATAATAATACTCTGAGCTGTCTAGAATTTATAAAGTGCCACTTTATAATTTGCTGATGGTTATCTCTAGGTAGTAGCACTGACAATTATTTACTTTCTTCTTTTTGGGGTATTGATATTTTCAAAATTTTCCATAAAAAATATGCACATTTTTTTAAACAAGAAAACATTAACCAAGGATTTGTAGATAAAGCATCAGAAAATGTTATACTATCAAACAAAATGCTCAGGAAAAGAAAAAGTTAAAACCAGGGTTTAACCTGAAGACTGTAAATGTCAAAGAGTGCCTCGCACAATAATAAGCCTGCAACTCAAGTTAATGAGGAGCTGATGGCTTTTACTTTCTCCATCAGATTGTTGTCTGCTTCTTAGAGATACACAAAGGCATGAAGTTTTATTCAGCAAGGACTCTGAATGCCAATTACTCATTTTATTTCAAAATAAAACTGAAGGGTTAAAAAAGTTAGGACTAGTTGTAGAAAAACATAGAAGTATTAGAAGATTCATTTGAAATTCTTTTTCTTTTCTTCAGAAAAGTCTCTTTCTGGATAGTAATTTTAAGAGATTGGTCTGTGCAGAAAGAAACAAATTATAGACATGTATCTATAGTTTACAAAAAAAAGGCAGGTACAAGTTGAATCTTGTTTTTTTAATTTTATTTTTTCTTGTAGAGAAGAGGTCTCATATGTTGCCCAGGCTGGTTACGAATACATGCTGAATCTTTTGAAGAAATTTTTTTCCTGAGACAGAGTCTCACTGTGTCACCCAGGCTGAAGTGTAGTGGTGCGATCACAGCTCACTGCAGCCTCAACTTGCTGGGCTCAAGTGATCCTCCTGCCTCAGCCTCTTGAGTAGCTGTGACTACAGGTGTGCCCCACCACACCTGGCTGATTTTTGTATTTTTTTGTAGTGACAGGGTTTCGCCATGTTGCCCGGGCTGGTCTTGAGTTCCTGGGCTAAAGTGATCCATCCACCTTCAGCCTCCCAAAGTATGGGATTACAGGTGTGAGCCGCTACACCCAGCTGAAAAAAATATTTTGAGGTCTTGGACATCTCATGCAGTCATCATCTGAACACCACTGGGAGGCAGTTTATAGCATCAAAAGAATTATTTGCTACATTTGTAAAAGATGATTTAACATATTTTGACCAATTCTAACAAGTTATAAATAATAAATCAGTTGCTGCAAGGTGAATACCATCAGACTCACAAGATGGTAACACACTGTATTCCAGCATAATGAATGACTCTGACCATTCAACAGTTCTACAAGTCACTATCAGCAAGGTCACTTGCCTAGCCCAAAATACTAGCATATGCAATCTTCCAAACTGTACACGTCAAACCATTCTGATACCTAATGGCCTCTAACCTTCCAATAACAACAGCAACAAAAAAAAAAACATAAAACCAAACACACAAACCAAACAAAAACAATAATCAAATCCCACTAAAAAGGTCAGTCATGATATATGGAAAGCACATTCACCACCCCAAAAACCAAAAAACGCTAATTCTACTTACTCACTGTGTGACTACTCTCATCCTCGGGGTTGGTTTGTTTGCTTGTAAATCAGGAAAATGGAAACAATATCACCTACTTCATAAGACTGTTGTGGTTTAAATAAGGCAAAATTATATGAAAAGCCTTCTGCAAACTGTAAAGTTTTATGATGGTTTTAAAACACTTAATTCTTTTCTCTATACAGAACTTTTAATAAAACTTCTCTACATAGTATATATCTAGAAGACTGTAGCCTTTTATGTTCTCAAATTCTCTGTGGAGGTTCTTCTAACTATTTCTCTGGGTATACTTCTGCTTGAAGGTATGTGACCTGCAGGTATTTTATTATGATTCTAATAACTCGTAGGAAAGCTATAACTCCGATTTGGATGTTACTGACTTGACAGAAACATTTTTCCAATCAAAACTTGACTCATCAACCAACACTTCTTTAACAATAAGTCCATGCCAGTGTGCCCCCAAACTGTCCCTAAAAAGGACAACTCCATGTTCTCTATACCATGCATTTATTTGATGTGAAACTCCTCTGCTTTTTATCTATATTCTCAGACACAATGTTTAAAGTAAGTTTAATTCATTTTCTTACATAGGAAAAAGTAGAAGGTCTTGACAGATCTATGTATCTTTACTTCTTGTCCCATGCTTAATATTTGAATATCAGGTTTCAATTTGTACAAAATACTTACTTCTTACTATGTATCTAACACGTAGGGAGATAAAAGAATATCTTTATTAGCGGTAGTGCTAAAATTACCATGAATGCTAAAAATAACAAAATTCTTGGCCAGGCGCGGTGGCTCACGCCTGTAATCCCAACACTTTGGGGGGCCAAGGCGGGCAGATCACAAGGTCAGGAGATCGAGACCATCCTGGCGAACACGATGAAACCCCGTCTCTACCAAAAATACAAAAAAAATTAGCCAGGCGTGGTGGTGGACGCCTGTAGTCACAGCTTCTCGGGAGGCTGAGGCCGGAGAATGGCGTGAACCCGGGAGGCAGCGGAGCTTGCAGTGAGCGGAGATCGCACAACTGTACTCCAGCCTGGGCGACAGAGTGAGACTCCGTCTCAAAAAATAAATAAATAAATAAAATTATTTTAATACTATTTATGAAAATGTTAACATTTACTAACATGAATCAATACAAATGACAACATTAAAAAACATAATATAATGTCTATTTTCTTATCATTTAGCAAATTTTCAACACATCTTGATTTATTTTCGTCACGGTGTTTCTTTTATGACACTACACAAGTGAACAGAAAATACTACTGCACAAAGCACTTGGCAACCCTGATTTTAGAGGTGAACCCTCTGAATCTGGTAAGGTTACTATGTTCAAATCCCAGTACGACAGTTGTTGACAAATACCTCCTTAGCTTGTTGGATATTTCCATACTATTAAATTATATTTAATAATGTTGTTTCCTATTAAATTAAACCAAAAAATATATATGCATACATATCATTACATTTATGATATCTAAATACCTGAATGTATGTGAGTATAAAGTATCTTTCTCATCTCTATTTGTTTTGGAGGGGGTTGGGGGCAGGTCCTCACTTTTTAAAAAAGGAATCTCTACACAGGTCATACCTCCACTGCAATGTGCAGGCTATTATGGTGCCTTGGGCCAGGCTGGGGTTCCCCGTAGCACCCTCCTTCACAAGTCTATGTAGTGTCCTGGACCCCTCCCTACCATCATCAGTGCTCAGCCCAATATAGAGTTTCTACCTCTGCTTCCTGGGGTCCAGGCTGTCTGCATACACACACTCTTCTATTTCCTAACTTTCTTGACAAAAATTAAGCATGTCTACCAAATTATCCCAACCACATCCAACAAAAGGAAAAGTAAGTAAATTTTAAAATACACAGATATTGAAAATGGAGGAGGCTGGGGAGTAGGGTGTGAGAGCATAGTGACAATGAGGCCAAGGTTTTAGAACTAGTTGTCACATTTACCAGAATGTTATTAATATTTAATGACTATTTTTTAAAAACTGTCCAGACAAGCCTGGCCAGAATCTTACAAATACATACCACACAAAGGATAACGCAAGTGGGTGTGGTAGTCTCAGCATAACCAATAAATACTTAATAGAAGTGGAAGTTATGGGAGATAGACTTCAGATCAATATAAGGAAAAGGAAGAACTAAGGATAAGAGTTGTACAAAAAAGGAATGGGTTACCTTATGAGGTAGTGGGCTCCCTGTCATTAGAAGTATTCAAGAATGCTGCATATCATATCCCCCTCTTGGAGATTCACAATGCACATTAGCATATTAAAGGTTCTGAGAAGTCCTGCAGTAAAGAAACCTGTTTAACTTTGTTTAATGCAGCATTTCCCAATTATTTGACCACAGAACCCTTTTCCCACCCCCAACCCACCTCAATAATACTTATTTTCTGTGGAAGTAGAATTCCTCAGAATACATAATAGAAGATGAGCTACATTTTTAAAAAATGTGGTATTCAATATGTACCTGAATAACAACCTGTCAGGGATCTAGAAGAAACTGCCACACAAGGTAAAATATTGGAGAAGGTCCTTAACTCATTTATACCTAGTGTTCCATTATTGGAACACTAAGCTTGTGGGACTTATTTATATCCTACTGCTCAAGGTCATCGCCAAGGTCTGATTTTCACAAAAAAATTTGCAATCTCCAGTATAAATGGGTTAAGGTCCCTTCTCTAAAATTCTATCCCATGTTAAAGCAAAGAGCTATAGGATCTTGATTATTTATTTTAAAAGGTTTAATGAGAGAAAGGCTAGTAGAATAAAAAAGGTAGTAAATGCAAGGATTAACTAGTTCAAGTGCCTCCATGAAACATGTTCAAATCCTAGTCCCCAAAAGGAAGAGAGACACCACAAGCACCATAAACTATCAAAAGGAAACCTTGGCCAAATATCTGCTATATCTACTCTACCCACCAAGTTAATTACTATTTGAGAGAGAGGATTTAAAATTTTTTTTAAAAAGTAGTCGTCTTGCATTAGGTGACTACCCTATTCCAGCTATCTTATTTGAGTTTAATTTTTTTCATAATACATACTCTCCTAATAAAGTTAACATTTGTTTGATGTTAGTCACTAGATTGCCCTGTGCATTCGAAGAAATGTTTAAGAGTGATGAACAGCCATTAAAAAAATCTATCAAAGTAGATATTAGGAAAAAATGTTCACCTATATGCCCCACATGATTACATTTCTCTCTCTCTTTTTCTTTTTCCTTTTGAAGAATTACATAAAACAACACACGCTAAAAATTTACTATCAGATATGAGGCTAACTAATCCAATATTACGTTTAAGAATGTAAATAAACACTAGTCCCAAATTTCAAAGTCAAGTTTCCACAGTTAAATTAACCTAAGCCATTTTGCACATATACTAAGGCCATCAAATATAACAGCATATTAAGTAACATAAAACACTACAGGAATCTTAATCTTCTTTTTTTTTAAGAGATGAGGGTCTTGTTTTGTCGCCCAAGCTGAACTTGAACTGGCTCAAGCCATCCTCCTGCCTCAGCTTCCTGAGTAACTGGAGCTATAGGCACACACCACTGGGCCTGGCTAGGAACCTGAACTTTTGAATTTCTTGACTTTTGAATTCTCAACCCGAACCATTGCGTTAAGGACATTTTTGGAAAAACGGGACTTTTACATTTTAACAGGTTATCAAATGGTGGAACATGCAGGCCTAGTTGTATTAGCAGAAACACAAATGCATTTGAAATATAGCTACGTGAAATTAGACAGTTCATTTCTACTTAGTGCAAACAGCAAAGCCCCATTTCTGAGAGACAGCTTTTGTGCAAAAAAAAAAAAAAAATCACAATATTTGAATTCTTATCCAGCTAGCATCAGGATCAGGCATACTATGTCTACCTAGTGAAAGTACTTACCAATTTTGGGGAAACTGGCTCTCCTTCAGCAATCTAGCCCCCTATAACAGAAGAACAGGAAAATGGAATTAGACAACACACATATATTTATGACATGTCATTAAAAGTTGAAGACTCAAAGATTTCTGATTTTAAGAAGAAAAAAACAAAACACATACAAGTTTCCAAAGTTTTAAAACCCAAAAGAAAAAAAGAGAAGCAATCGGTAACTTTTACAAAGCAAAGAAAGAACTCAAGAGCAGTTAAATCGCTACTTTTCCATACTTTTTCAAAACAAGGAAAAGTAAGTAGTTGATAATTTTCCTTTCGTAAGAGACGTATAGAAATCAAATGCACCTCACTTAAATAACATACAACTACTCCTTCATCCCCAACAAGTGACCTCTACTATCCGTTGTTTTACATTAACAAATTAAGCTAACATCACTAGTTCTTAGTTTGGTCCTCATAAAAGGCATTTTCTTCAATTAATCTTGAAATGTACTTGCCTTATGTAAGGCTTTAAAATCACAGCATTTTATAATAATGTACAGTCAGAATTTTAACTAAACTTTTCTTCACATTCTTAGATGTGTCTCACCTTTTTCTTTTTTGAGACAGAATCTTACTCTGTTGTCCAGGCTCAAGTGCAGTGGCACAGTCACAGCTCACTGCAACCTCAACCTCCCAGCCTCAAGCAATCCTCCCACCTCAGTCTCCTGAATAGCTGGGACTACAAGTGTGCCACCATGCCTGGCTATTACTTTATTTTTTTGTAGAGTCAGGCCTCACTCACTATGTTGCCCAAGCTGGTATCAAACCCCTGGGCTCGAGCAATCCTCCCCACCTCAACCTCCCAAAGTGCTGGGATTACAGGTGTGAGCCACCGTGCCTGGCCACATCTTACCACTTTAGATTGTAAACCACATACACAAAAGCTATTTGTTTCCATGCCACATATCTAATCAGTGATAAAGCCAGAAAGAAAATTTACGTTTTGGGATCCCAATCCAATATTAGGAAAACAAAAATTAAAACTTTTCCCTTAATATTTTAATATTTAATTATTTAAACTCCACTATGCTATGCTCTAAAACTACATGTCTTCCTTTTGCCTTGAATATGGTGTTTGTTGACTGATATTACCCCAATAGTGTCTCATTTCTTCAGGGAATATTTCAAAAGAGCTTCATGTCTCTCAGATTGTAAATCTTTGTTTAACCATGTACAGTTATACCAAACATACAATAAAATTATTTGAAAGGGCCCCAGTTCATACAGTTAGCATTCATTTCCAAAAGAAAGTAATGTGCTATTCTATTCTGCCTTTTCTTTAGCAGCTGTCCTTTTTAAATTTCTCAGGCCCATGCAAATAACAATTTTAATCACAAAGGTTAGGATGACTCCCAACCAAAAGAGAAATCATGCAACAATCTGTAGAACAATGCAGCTATTAAAAAGTGGATTCTTAACACTACTGATATCTATAGGATTCTGTGCCACTCAAAAGGTTGCCTGAAACAGTAGCAGGCACATAGTAAATGCTCAATAAATGTTTGTTAAATCAATGAATTGACTAAATAGACACTTAAGCTGTCTGTTGAGGGCTTATCTTCCCTATTAGGGCTTTCATGTTAGCTCCTTCAGGCTGGCGATAATTTCTTATGCATCGATTTCCAGCAGCATTATTTGTTAAATGAATGACTTTCTGGAACTGTTTTCATCCACGTTGTTGATTAGGAAGTAAAATATTACCACTTTAAAAAATAATAAAAAGGAAAAGACTGATAAATTGGACAAAATTAAAATTAAGAACTTCTGTTCATCAAAAAAACACCATTAAGAAAGTGAAAAGGTAAACCACAGAACTGGAGGTGATAATTATAGTATATATAATCAACACAGGCTTATACCCAGAATATATAAAACATGTTGAAATTCAAAGTGATGAGGATGGGACTGGGATTTTAACTTATAGAGCATTTGAGAAAGTATTAGTAAATGCTGCTGAAAAGGCATATCCAACAAAAGACAGCACAATGTACATATACCTTATCTCCAAGGCATTTTCCCCCAAAATGAGTAGCAGGGCCAATCCTAAACTGATAAAGAATTTTGCCATGATATCCTGAAATCATGATGTCATGAAACTGCTCATAAGACTACTTGTAGGGACTGCAGAAATCGCATAGAAAATCAAAGCCGGAGAAGTTAAGTGATTTCCCCAAAGGTCACTCAGCTAGCTGATAGTGAAGCTAGAGAAGAGCTTACGGGCTCGAGATTCCTTGGCTGAGATCATTTTCCCCTAGACCTTACTTTTTCTTAACCCGCTGCAGCAGTTACTCTTCTAAAAAACAAACTACAATAAACACTAGCAAAATATTTTTGGAAAAGTCTGCACATAAAGTTTTAAAGGAAAATCACATAAATAAGCCATCTAGGGCAAGTCTTAAAACATGAAATCCTGGCCGGGCACAGGGGCTCATGCCTGTAATCCCAGCACTTTGGGAGGCCAAAGCGGGCAGATCACAAGGTCAGGAGATCGAGACCATCCTGGCCAACATGGTGAATAATAATTATTTAGTAGAAGTCACTACTAAAACTACAAAAAAAAAAAAAAAAAAAAAATTAGCTGGGTATGGTGGCGTGCACCTGTAATCCCAGCTACTCGGGAGGCTGAGGCAGGAGAATCCCTTGAACCTGGGAGGCAGAGATTGTAATGAACTGAGATCGCACCACTACACACACTACACTCCTGCCTGGCGACAGAGTGAGTCTCCATCCTCCCCCTCCAAAAAAAGAAAAAAAAAAAAACCATGAAATCCTTTAAACCTAAGGGATCCCCATGAATGGGCTTCAGAGGGGTCTGTCAACTCCTTCATACTATATGCTAAATTCTATACATATAAACAGAGGTACAGTTTTCTTGGAAGAGGGTCCATGGCTTTCACTGGTTTCACAATGAGGTTCACATACCCAAAAAGAGGAAATTATTTTTAGACTAATAATTCTTAAACACTGTGCACATGAGAAATCCCAAAGTGTTTCTTCTTAACATTGCATATTAATTGACTACCATTTGGAAATTGACAAAAAAAAAAGAAAAGCAAATATTTTATTTCTATAATTTAAGAAGACTGAGCAGCAAAAAGCAACATCTATACACACATTTGTGCTTTTTACACTATCCATAGGTAAAACATATTTAAGTCTGAAATTCAAGTTTGATTTCTTCATGTTAAGCTGGTTAAAAGCCACTTAGTTTGTTTCTCACGTACATTTCACGCTTCTAACTAAGGTACTTCAAAATTTTAATCATATTTGCTTAAATTTTTAAAAGATAGATTTGTTCTTGAAAAATATATCCAAAACACCTAAGTTAGAGTAAATGAAAGTATTTGTGCTTTTAGAGGTGTTATATTATCTTGCTAATATAATGTCATACAAAAACTGAAGATTGTTTACCTCTCCAGAACTTCAAAGGTAACTGCTCTAATTAGAGCTGGTAAAGAAACAAATCATCCGATTTCTGATATGGTTATAATATTTTAAATATTATAAATAAATCTAAAGTGATTAATAATTATTTAAATACCTTTTGTAAAATATCTAAAACCCTTGCATATGAAGAATCTGTATTAAACAAACAAAACTTGCAGAGAAAAAGTTTAATACTAGATCATGTTTTAAATTAGGCTAAAATTTAATTCACCCTACTACAAATTTCAAATAATTAAGTTTATAGCCTGTGCTCAATCATAAATTTTGATAAGGGACTAGAATAGCACAGATAATTGTCATTCAAAGACACTTTAAAATGTCACCTTACCCAGAAGATTCAATCTCTTCTCTTCCCCTAACTATACCAAACTGATAGAGGCCCCCAAACTGAGTTTTATATACCACTGGCTTTACTGTTTTTTATCTGCCCTTCCTAACTTCCAACAGAAAGCAAGTAAGTTTGAAATAAATTTAAATGTAGATAAGTGGTTAGAAGAAAAGGCAGAATCCCACTTGATCAGTTTAGTCCTTGGGGCCCCAACATCTTAAATACCATCCCTCTTGTCCCCACCTCTCTTACCCTCTCCTGGACATTCCTCTAGTTCTTCTCCCTTTACTCTCATGGAGCATCGATCTTCTCCTCATCATTACTGGATCATTTTGTTCCTTCTATCTTAAAAAATAATAATTTAAAAAAAAAAAACCCTCCCTTGACTCCATATCCTTCTCTAGTTATCGTCCCTGTCTGGGCTCACATTTATAGCAAAACTCCCTGAAAGAGTTAACCATGGCCGGGCACGGTGGCTCAAGCCTGTAATCCCAGCACTTTGGGAGGCCGAGACGGGCGGATCACGAGGTCAGGAGATCAAGACCATCCTGGCTAACACAGTGAAACCCCGTCTCTACTAAAAAAGTACAAAAAACTAGCCAGGCGATTTTCTTCCTCATCAATCTGGCTACTCTCCTTGGTTTCTTTTGCTCGTTTCTCCTTGCCTCCAATACCTCAAAATGTGGAACTGTCCCAGGACTCAGTTCCTGGAACTCTTCCCCTTAGGTGATCTCACACAGTCTCATGGCTATAGAAGGATCTATGCACTGGCAATTCCCGATGTTTACCTCCAGCACACATCCTTCCCCTGAATTCCAAACTCATATACCCAACTGCCCACTCAACACTGGTCAAATAGGTATCTCAAGCTCAACAGATCCAAAACTAAACTCCTGACTGCCTCTCCCCTAACTTCCTCCTCAGAGTCATTCCCATCTCAATAAATGGTAACTTCACCCCCTCAGAAGAAAAAATCCTAAAAGTCATCTTAAGACTCTTCATTTTCCACACTCCACATCTACTCCAACAGCCAACTATGTGCCTCTACCTTCAAAATATATCCACCATGATCACTTGTCTCAACTCTCCTACCACCTCCCTGGTCCAAGTCACCTTCACCTTTCACCTAGATAATTACAACAGCCTCCTAACTGGCCTCCCCAATTCTACCCCAGCCCCACTAAGGTATATTCTCTCGCGAGTCAGAGTAAGCTTTTCAAAATCCAAGACAGA